CAGTATTTCTTGTTAATCATTTGAAGCAAGGCAATATAGCCACTAAGTTGCAGGAGTTAGAGTGTGAATAAATATAAAAAAGAGGAAAGATTATTAAAGAGCAAGAACAATAAAAGGACAGGAATCAAGAAGACACAAGATAACGATTGACTTTACATTTAAATTTTTGAAGATCGAACCTGACTGAAAAGCACGTAACCCGAGTTCAGTGAACGAGAAAAGAAGCTCTTAGCATAGAATTTACGGTTACAACTCGTCAATTCAACTGTAAAATGATGAACCCTTGCCGCCAATATTGCTCTTAAATTCATAAAACCCAGATAACATAGAGGAAAGGTCATCAGAATAATTACCATGAAAATATTTATAGAAAAGACACAGGGAAGCTATATTACGGCCGCGAGAAGCCGAGATGCCAGGTCAGTAGCAACAAAATTGCAGATTTTTCTTTCGATTTTATCGAAGATCTAAATATATAGCAGGGGCACAAGACCATATGTGGCATCAATATTCAAGGTATTGACGAATGATGGACATTTAGTGGGTACACAAGACGGCGTCGATATCCCAATTGACTTCTACCGGCCCGGGTAATCGAACGTCCTGTTTAAAAATTAAAATAATGCTACAACACGACAAGAATTGAAACTACATTCTCTTTAACCTGAGAAACCACCTTTAGGCTAGGTGTGCTTAAACACTCAGGGACGTCCCAGCAAAGCAAGCCTTAATTACTCTTTTTGAGAGATGGCCATATCTCGGGACATTTCAAAGTCTATATCGGCTAATTTTATTTTCGTACCAGGAAAGTAACTGTAACGTAATTTAATAATAAAAACAAATTGGAATGTCTATTCAAACATACTTACCCATTAGTATAACTTTTCTAATAAGAAATATTTGCACATTCACACACACACACACACATACGTGTGCGTGTGTATGTATGTATATATATATATATATAATTATTTTTTATAAAAAATTATAACATAAGTATGTTATAAGATCACTACAAAAATAGCCATTTTGTTTCAACACATTCTGTGTCGTCTCAAGTGATGATGTTGAAAATAAAATAAATGGTTTTAAAAAGTTTCAGATTAATTAACGATCCTACATTAGGGGAGCATTGTTACAAAAGCTAGAATAACCAATCAAAAAACGAAGTATAGAAAGATTCAAAAGCTTGACAACGAAATCCTGCTATAATAGCTATTCAGATCTTTAAATACGTGTAATATTAAAAAATAATTTATACTAACTAATAATTATAAAATCATATGATAAAATTTAATATTAAAATTAAAATTGGTAATTTTAAAATCCAAATTTAATCACTATTAAGTTTAAAAACTATAAAATTATTGAGAAAAAAAAATATATATGTTTATTCAATTCATTTCTTCATTGAAATTATGTTCGACAAGGACGCTACAATATATCCGGTCATTTGATAATACATGTATATATATTTTTTTCCCTTTCCCTTTCATTTCCGTTTTTATTTTAAAGTTTGTGGATGTGGTCTTAAACTCACGCGTCAAGACAACAAAACACAATCAGATTATAATACATAAGCACCCAGACATAATTAGATATACACACACACACACACACACACACACACACAAACACACACACACACACACATACATACACACTAAAAAAAAAAAAAAAAAAAGAAGGAGGTGGTGGGGAAAACATGAACATCTCTACAGCCTTTTTTATTAAAAAAAGGGAGACGTGAAACTAACACTAATACACACAGTGAATACACTCTACATACACATAGACACCGATAGATACACATACATACATCCACAGACAATGACAGACAATGAGAAATCACAACCAATAAATATTTCAGACTTAAATAAATGCTAACGAACCACTTATTGAATTATAACTTAAGGGAGCAAATATACAAAGATAAAATGGTTAAAATAATATTATTTAATATATTAAAACGAAAATTCTAAAACCATAAATATCAATAAAAATATATATTAATCATATAAGTTGATAATAGTTTCATTATATATTAGGCCAGGAAAAACAGTATACAGAAACACACAACTATATATATATATATATATATATATATATATATATATATATATATATATATATATATATATATATACACGGGAGCAAAAAACAAATTAACACACATAAATATACACTCATACATACATATACATATATATTTACATACAAAAATGCATACAAATAAATATATAAACATAAACATATACGCACATATACATATCTATGATAACAAGTACACATGCACGCACATATACATATAAACCTAAATACACCCACATATATACACACAAACTTTTATGCACACATACTTACATATATAAAAAACAGTCATGATATACCAAAGTTTCCATACCCCACATACACACAAACAAACTCATACATAATAGGTTCCACACACACACTATATATATACATACACAAACATACATAAATATATACACACATACATACATATCTACAAATAAACATATATATATATATCCATAAATATATCTACCTGCAATAACAACCACCCATATATACATGCATACATAAAAATATAAACAACTTTCAACCAAATACATATATAAACGAACTAACATATAGATACATAAATATACCTTCAAACACCAACACACACCAATATACATATAGTCTAACATACAAATATATAAACACAATCATACAAACAGAAATATACTTAAATATAGATATACATACACAATAAAATAGGACATACATATATATATATATGCACACATATATATATATATATATACATACATACACACATACACACACACAGACATATATATATATACAAATATATAGTGGCGTAAAGCCGAAATTAGGAGGCACTCAGTGAGGAACTAATTCATTACTCAGTCGCACCTAATCCCACCGAACCATGCTGGCCAACCATTATACTGCCGTGATTTTATCATACATATACATATATATATTTATACATATACACATACACACACATACATACATATACACACATACATACATATATATATGCATACATATATACATATATACAACCACACACACACACACACTTATATATATATATATATACACATACATATATATATATATTTACATATACATACATACATATACACACACCCATACACACGTACATATATAGGCACACACGTACATATATTGCGTAACAATTATTAACCTCTTCTCTTATCATCTACCATACCTTCCCACCTAATATATATACATATATACACACACACTCACATATATATACACATACACACACACACACACACACATATATATATATTTAAAAAAAAAAAAAAAAAAACAATAAATACACATACACCAACCTACACATTCCTCAGTGCCAATACTCTAACCAACACATAAATAAATATATACACATTTGCACCAACACTAATGACACTATGCAGGTATACAATACACACTTATATCGTAAGTATGACCATCATGCAATAAAAACACTAATCTATTAAAAATACAGCGACATATCATTATCATTTAAAGTATACGACCCCTACACTAAGTTAAATTTATAACGGTGTTTACAATTTACTGTAAGTTCATATCTTTGATTTAAGAGATCAGCCTTGTTTTAAATCTAATAATTTCAAATTTTTCATTAAGGCATAGGTAACATGGGGTATATAGGAGTTATATGTACGAGCTTTCTTAACCAAACTCCATTTAACCGTAGGTGTTTTGTTCTTATCTTTTAGATTCCAAAATACTTGGATAATGAAGTCATGTACCTATATTCACTGTGATTAGAGGATTGCATATGCCCCGCCAGCGTTCCTTGAATGTTTTCATGGTAGAACCAATGTAAAACTTCTTTATATTTGGATTTTCAATTGTTGAAATAGTACCAAGATAGACTACAGAAGTAATTCCACAGTTAGTTTTAGTGGACAATTATTCGGATTCCTACAATTACATAAGTTGTTATTAGTATTCTTATAATTAGTATTGCAGTTAGTAACCTGTTGATTAGTCAAGCCTTTTGAATTTCTATACTTGTTAAAGACTATGTTGTTATGTTTTTAATTATCTGCTCCAGGTTATCAGCACAACTATAGCTTAATTTAAGGGTATTAGGATTAAATATTTTACTAAGTGGGTTAGTTTCAGGGTTGGGGAAATGTTTTTGATTAGATTTAGAAATATACGCCCTAATTTAGTTTTGACCATAACATTGAAAGGGGAGTGAACCAAATAATCTTTCTAGATCTTCTTTTCTTATTATGGTTGCAATTAACAGGGTTTTTATATTGAATAGTGGTATTTTTTTGTATCCACTATTTTTTAGTGCAGAATTATAAAAATCACTATGTTTATTGAAAACCTCCTTATTATAAGAGTTAGCGCTAATTCTAAATTCAATGGAAGAGGGTATATGTTTGATAACCGAAGGGGGGATGGTTGGAATTAGGATGCACGTATAATGGGTTGGAATCAACCTTCATATATGGTTGGAAAATATTGTTAGCAAGATCTAAGGTGACATCTAGAAAATCCACTTGTCTAACATTAGTAGTAACTATAGTCCCTAAGACCTAAATCCTTAAATACTTTATAGATCATTTTCCTAATACGGTCTACCTTAATTTTAGTTGAGTTTTTAACAACTAATAATCCATCATCTCTATATAATCCTACACTATCTGAATCTAGACAATATATATATATATATATATATATATATATATATATATATATATATATATACATACATACAGAGTGATCAAGAAATAAATGTGCAAATAGGAAAAGTAGTATAAAATAGGGACACATATAATGTCATTCTTTTGTGAAATAGTCAGAACCCTTCTTAAGCTGGACAAGAGAAGACCTCAGAAACTAGACAAGAAAACAAAGGAGTGAGGAAGGAAACGCATCAGCGTCGAAGGTTGCTCGATTAAGTAATATGAGGATGACACATCACGTTGAAACGGCAATATCACGCTGAAACACCAGTTCTCGTACGATCGCCTAAGTTAAGAAACATCAAACCTAGTCAGTACCTAGATTGGTGTCTACTTGGGAATACCAGGTGCTGTAAGCTTGGATGTGCGTGTGGTGTAATGGTTAACAGCTCGGAATTGGAATTCGGCTCTTCGCGTTCTAATTCCAGTTGGGTTAAAAAAAAAAACCTCCGAAAAATTATGAATCCACTGCTTCTTCCCCTAGCTAATTAATTAGTAGGACTTGTCTCAATAAATCATTATTATCCCCAGTTATTACTTAGAATTTAAAAATATTTTTCTGGCTTTAAATGACCTGCAAAAGGTTGATAAGCCGTAAAAAAAAAAAAAAATAAAAAAAACACAAAACTGAATAACAAGAGCTAGGAGAATTAGTAGAAGGAAACCCGGAAACGAAATTTCAGAAACAATTCTACTGACATTTCAGAATATAAATTAAAGAAATTGCAGTTTTTTATGTTTATCTACTACAAGACCAAAGAGCCACTCGAGATAGCAAGTTACTGAATAGGGCAGTTCAGGAAGAGTCTGGTACTTTCTGGGACAAGTACAAGGAACCGAACATTTATAGACATGGTTGCGAAGTCACAATCTAAAGGGAGAAACCGAATCGCTCTTAATAATAATCCAGAATAACACCATATGAAGCAATTATACAAAAGCCAACACACATAATACACAGGGGAATAATAAATGCAGACATTGTGGAGGTAGAAATGAAACAATCAACTTCATAAGGAAATGAAGTAACTTAGTTCGGAAAAGGTATAAAAGTACACGTGATTGGGTGAGAAGGGTGATCCACTGAGAACTATGCAAATGACTAATCGGCCTGACGATTGCATCTTGCATGAAACAGACTGTCGCCTCTAAGTGTTGACTTCAATGTTCACTTTTATATTTACACACGCTCTATCTCTGATATTGAGCACTTTATCCCATAAATATAGCACACCTTAAGACTATATATCTGAGATATTATGGGACATAGCATAGAGTTAAGTTTTGGGGTTTCTAACATTTTAGCATTATTTTGTTAAGTTTCATCGATTCGACTTTCGCGTTATTAGTTGTAATTAGTCTGTTTATTTCTGTCTGAAGAGGGTTGATGGTATTTCTATCTATTTTTGTATTTTTTTAAATTAATTTTCTATTAATTATTAATTAGTTTTCTATGGGACGTTTCAACGGGCGAACTGGTCTTAGTCTATATCTGTCTATATTTCTGAGATGAGGTATTATGTACACTATTTTCATTATTCGGACTATTGCCCTCATCTTTGTTGCCATATTTATCACAACTTTTCGGTCTTTGTACGCTCCAGCCTTCTTCGGGTGCTTGGAATGTCGAACTGAACCCTTTATTTCGCTCCTTAATGACACATGGCACAGTGGATAAAGGCGTTGGTTAGATCCAGTGACGGGACCCAAAGAGTTCAATACTTCGTTAAGGCAGCGGAAAACTTGGAGAGGTGAATTAACAGGAGCTAACTGATAACTGACATCCATTAGACATGGCACGTGGAACTAGAACAGTCTACCCCAGCGAGCGAGATAAAGGGTTCAGTTCGACATTCCAAGCACCTGAATATTTTCGATTATTTAGGCCGGCAGATGTTTTCACCGTTTGTAAATAAATAAGAATGTTTAGTCAAACACGTGTTCCCACTAAAATAACGTTTCTAGTAATGGGAAATGTGCTAGCTAGCTCGTGTGTGTGTGTGTGTGTGTGTGTGTGTGTGTGTGTGTGTGTGTGTGTGTGTGTGTGTGTGTGTGTGGCATAGATTTAGGCTGCAAAAAATCTTAAAATGATTGAGCCACCGGTTCCTTCTAAAGTGTACTTCAACTGTATACTTCTGACATCTCCGCCTAAATTCTGAAACTTTATTTACTATTTATTTGTTATCTTTTCATTTTTCCTCAGTAGGAGTAGATAAGCTCGCCTATCTTCCGGTTCACATTCTTCCTTGGTTTTATTTATTTATTTATTTTAACAGGAATAGATGTTTATTCCTTGTTTTCTATTTAGGATTGGGTTTCTGGTTTCTTCTAAATTCTTTTCAATCTATTTCACTCCCAGTAAGCGCTTGCATCTTAGTGGCATTATCGCCTTGCTTGGAGCGAATTGATTTTAAAAAATTATAAAATTCCACCAACAAGGTTGAATTTAATAACATCGAATAAGTTGTTACACATTCGGATCAAAATTGGGGATAAACTGGCCAAAGTTCATGTTTTTGTTCTATTTGGTTCGAGTAATTTCGACCGTGTCAGTCATTTACTGACAACATTTTATTTTTGATAGAGTCTGTAAATAATATGACATATAAACACGACATCTGAACTGTTTATCCACAATTCTGCTAAAACAACATATCATAAAAGTGGAAAAAATACACTAAAAAATTAAACTGACAGACCATGTTGGTTGAATTTAATAAAAATTTGTTTGTTTATATAGACAAATTGCCTATCTATCTTGCTCACTCAAAAAAAAAAAAGAAAAGAAAAAGAAAAGAAGCCTTAACAACAATTTTCACTCATCGCACCTCTCAGGCACCCGAGCCATAGTCCATCATAAACATCAACAAAAACACACATTCCATTAATTCGTTTCGTTTAATGCATGCCTTCTTTCGTTTGCCCGACAATTCAAGCGAACAACTTCTTCGTCTTCGCTACAAGTCATTTACAGCCATTCCCTTAAAATACCAAAAGGCGGAGAGAAGACGGGAAAGACGCCGAGCAGACAGCTGTAGTAGTGTCTACATACGCGCAAAGCAACGTACTTACTAAGGCATGTCAGAAGTCAAATAAATGCTAAAACTATTCGACAACAGCGTTTTTATTAGAGAGGGTTACACGAGTCCCATAATATATTTGTATGCATGTTCGGTAACGTATGTGTCCAGGTGTAAAGAATGTTTATGAACTACACACTGTTGGACGCATGCTGATGAGCATATGCATGTGGGTCGGTATGAATGGTGTAAGGAAGAGAAAATGAAGTTACTGAAACGAAAGAGAGGCTTGAATCGAAGTCGACATTCCTAAGTGTGTAGTTTGTTACATATGTAAATGTCCAGGTGTATGTGACTTGTGTATGTGTGAGTGTATATATTTGCCGCAGACACGTTAAATGATATTGTTATCGATACTGTTAGTTAACGAGTGCACTTTTTTTAGTTTACAGTGAGACATATGTGTATACGTATTTTATAATGTGTGAGTGTTTTTAAAGAGTACTTTTTTCCAAGAAAGTGCGATCAAAACCAATTTACATCTACAGTACACCCTACACACGAGGAAAAATATTTGTCTTCCTCATGTCTGGTCTTGCCAGGATCTCTGAAAACGCGTGGCTGCTTTTTGCTGTTCTTGTTTTTTGTTGTTTTTTTTTTTTTTTTTGTTGTTGTTGTTGTTTTATGGTTTTTGTTGTTTTTTGTTTTGTTTTGTTTTTTGGGTTTTTTTTTTGGTTTTTTTGTTTGGATTTTTTTTTTTTTTTTGTTTTCTTTTTTTTTTTTTGGTTTCTTTTTTTTTTTTTGCTTTAATAATGTGATGTGATTTGAGAAACCATGCACACGGCGTAGATTTTTTGCTTTTAACTAAACATTCGCTCCGGGCCCGTCGCCAAGGTTGGAAGGCTGTTCAGACGAAAATCAATTACCCCTCCTACCCACTGTGAAATTGTTATGAATTAATTTTAATGTGCAAATTCTTACTCGCAATCCTGCCTGACTTAAAGTTCGCCCTCCACCACCACCATCGCTCAAAAACACTCTGGCGACTGACTTTACATATTCGTGTATAAGATGCAACTATCTTGATGTATAAATTAATAAATAAATAAAAACGGAGAATTAACAGACATTTTAGGAAAAAACCAAACTATAGTCAAAATGACGTTTTCCGATCAACATGTTTCCTTTACCTATTTTCGATTTTCCTCGTTAAAAGTACATTAGAAACGCTCCAATTTATTTTTAACCAAACAGGGAGAATTCTAAGTTATGAACATATGATTGGAACGTTATAAATTTTCACCTCAGATATAATAATAATAATAATAATAATAATAAGTCCTTATATTCTCAAGATTTGATTAATCTGACACAAGATTACAATAAAATTCGGTAAAGACTACACAAGCGACGACTCGACGGGACTAACTCTTCGGCACGCGCCCAAATTTACCTGACGAAATGTAATTGGAGCTTAAAGAGGAAAGAATGGGGCCTACTTCAGTACGTTTGCGAGTAGTGCTTTCTTTTTTTTTTTTTTTCTTTTTATTAATGATTTTATGAGTATTTTTATGTGTATACAATTATGACTTTTCTTAAAAATGCTATGGGTTCTTTGTAAAATCAAATGTGGAAAGAAGCTGTGGAAGTTTTACTTGTCAACAGTGCATGCCTACAAGATAATTCATAATCACGTACTTTGTTACATGTGGGTATCTCCTCTCCCTTCACACCACCCCACCCCCTTTACTCCTTTTATTGACTTACTGTTCTTGGATAAACCAAAATGCGTGTATATTTTTATGTATTCATTGTAAAGCGCATCTGAGAATCAACGCATGCGCCTTTACGTTTTCGAGCAGTGTGCAGAGATGCATTTTTCTCTTCAGCCTTTCTAGTCGTCTTTATCTCTCCCCTTCTTCGCTTCCATTTTTCCTGTCTTTCTATTTAGCAATTTAATAGATGAATGAATAGAAACGGATAATGATGACTTATGGAATTTAGCATCAGATGTCAATTTAAAATTTCCTTCGCTTTTGCTTCATCACGGCGGGAATTAACTAATCAGTGGTGGGCACCCGGTTAAAATATTGTAAAGAAAAATTTCATTCGAATTGCACTGCAATAGTTTGGTTAATTTATCTTTACTCGATAACGAAACCAAGAAAGCAAAAGAAAATAAACGAAACACAATTTTAAAAAACTGTTATGGTTCGATAGTTTTTCATGGGAATAATCGTTGGGTGACTAAATTTTTTAAAAAGTGTTTCTTTTGAAACTCAAGGTCATTATAGCTTTCTTTTTTATTTCTTTAAGAAAGTGAAATAGTATTTGCGAAACCTTAAATTCATATAATTAAATCTGATAGTAAATTTACAGGTTGAAATATATATCTGTTATAAATAGGGACAACGGATACGATACACTTGCTTTTCTTTTTTAAATGAGTCAGTATGCAACCTTATGTTGTCTTTGTGTTCAGATACAATAACATATTTTTACTTTCATCCTTCCTACACATAAAACTATACGATAGATAGATAGATAGATAGATAGATAGATAGATAGATAGATAGATAGATAGATAGATAGATAGATAGATTTTATTTTAGAATATAAGATTTCTTGTTGTTCTGAGATTTGTTGTTGTTCTACTGAATATGAAACAAACTATATGTACACGTGGTTAAAGAGCTGTGTTATTATTGTACAACTTCGTATCCGACTATGTATACTGTATTATGTTACCTTTTTATATTGGAGACTTGTTGGGATTTGTTTTTGTTTTTTTGTTTGGGTTTTTTTTTGCGGTTGTTCAATATGTAAAAAAAAATGGGATGAAACAATTCCAAACTGAATATTGAAAACTAAAAATAATATTACTGCAATAAGCAAAAGACATTTACTAGTCACAAACATAGATAGATAGAAAAACAGGCAGAAAACACAGATAGATAGATAGATAGATAGATAGATAGATAGATAGATAGATAGATAGACACTAGACAGACAGATAGACAGACACTAGACAGACACTAGACAGACAGATAGACAGACAGATAGACACTAGATAGACACTAGACAGACAGATAGACAGATATATAGACACTAGACAGATAGACAGATATATAGACAGAAGACAGATAGATAGACAGATATAAAGACAATAGACAGATATATAGACAGAAGACAGATAGATAGACAGATATAAAGACAATAGACAGATATATAGACAGAAGACAGATAGATAGACAGATATAAAGACAATAGACAGATAGATAGACAGATAGACACTAGATAGATAGATAGATAGATAGATAGATAGATAGATAGATAGATATAGACACTAGACAGATAGATATATAGACAGATAGATAGATAGACAGATATATAGACAGACAGACAGATATATAGACACTAGACAGATAGATAGATAGATAGATAGATAGATAGATAGATAGATAGACAGATAGATAGACACTAGATAGATAGATAGATAGATAGATAGATAGATAGATAGATAGATAGATAGACTGAATGACAGATAAGAAAGATAGACAGACAGACTGGCCGCAGAAACTTAAACATTAACAGACTGATATAAATATAAATTATAAATATATTTATAGTAAGCAATGTGTGCCTATGTTTTTGATTTGCGTTTGCGAACATAGGCAAACATGCGTATTTTTGTATAAAAATTGGCGTGAAATTCTGTGCCTATGTGGTATCATCATAGTGTACATTTACGTTGCTTTTACATGTTGACTACTATTTAATATTATTTTTTAAAAGACTTACATGTTCATATCATTCGTAGATCAAGTTGACAAAAATATCTGTATGTGAACAAAGACTTTAATAAAAAAAAACTCCATACGTACTTACTACGTGTAGTTGCATGGGTGGTTTTATATGTCATCGGCATGTTTTGCAAGCGTGTTTGAACTCATTACAATTAGTTTATTGTAATTTTCTCGATAGTTAAAAAAAAAATAGTGCAACGAAGATAAATGTTTGTCTAATTAATATCACAACACATTTAGTACACACTGTTTTTTTATCATTTTTTTTAATATTCATATATCGAAATTCTATATTTAAAAAAAGAAAATCAAGATGGAAAAAAAATTCTACTGACCAGTTCAGAACGAACCCAGGCTAAAGCCGATTCAATTCTCTCTTTTCTTTGTGTCCAGTTCTCTCCTTCTTTATTTCCAGGTTGAAACTTAAGCACCGGCGATGTTTTAACCGTCGTGCTATCGATAATATCCGGTAAACTGACAGATCGACAAGTGGCGATCGGGGTAAGTTTCGGCTCCCCAACAGAGTCTGGTTTTCCGAACGTGGATTGAATTAAGGGATTGCACCTTGAGCCGGCATTGATTTGAGCCAGTAATGAATCGTGGTGTGATGCTTGGGACATTCCATTCGGCAGGCCAATGGGTAACGTCACATCTTCTCCCATTTTCCAAGAAATCGCCCACGTTTCTTAAGTAATAAAAGCGCTACAGAGCTAATATGCAGACAAGAGCAGACATAATAATAAGATTTAAAAAGGTTCGGATTTTTTATAATTACTTATGACATCCATTTCAACTCGTTTTATTTTTTTTCCTGACACACACACGCACACTGATTTTTTTTTTTTTTCCTCTTTTTTTTTTTTTTTTTTTTAGTTTGATTCTAACCTTTTTTAATTTTTCAAAACTCTTTCCCTTCCTGTCATGTGTGTATTTTTGAATGTGTAAATTGACGTTTTATTTTACCTGTATGTGATATACCTGTAACAAAATAACCTGTATCCTTTCTAACCCTAAAGCCAATTTTTTTCAACTGTTGTATGCCTTCCCTTATCTATATGTGAGCGAGCGCCCTTCTAAGCTGTTTTTGTTTGCGAGTGTATGCAAGCGTGTGCGTGCGTGTTAAAACCCCAAAAGATTTTTTTCTCTTTTTCTTTCCTTTAAATTTTCTCGAAAGTAAGGATCCTCCTGTATCGTGACTCTGTTGTGTATATAGTATCTTCCAGGTGCTTAAAAAATACCAGAGAACCAAATCCACTCGACTGACTTCCGTCTCAGTGACAGTGGTATGAACGAAACAACTCCTCTGTAGTTATCGCCTGACGACCTCCGCTTCCTCCCCCGCTTTCTGCTGCTGCTGCTGCTGGTGCTGCTATCATTTACCTCCTACTGCGTTCTACCGACCACCTCCTCCTCTTCACTCTTACGTTTCTTTAACTAATGTTGTTAAAGATGATGATGATGATGATGACGCGAAATTGCATCGACTATTTTTGTGTTGAGTAAAATTCAGAAAGAAGGAAAGCGGATGAATTGAAGAAATAAAGTGACAGAACGAGTTTTAATGAAATTTGTCTGCTATTGTTGTTGGTCGAGTAATTAGCTGACATTTGTAGAAAATAAATTACTGTGTTTTGCTGATAAAATACTTAAGGTTGACAATTGTTTTTAGTAATATAGCAGTTGAGGACTTAAACTTAGTTTGTAAAAAAGACTATTATTATTCATACACTTTTGTAGTATTGTTGACTGTCGTAGTAGTAGTGTTGAGAATAGTTTCTATATAGCACAAACGGTATATATATATATATATATATATATATATATATATATATATATATATATATATATATATATATATATATATATATGTTTATATATATGAATATATAAACATTTATGGAATATATATATAGTATAGCTGACCACTCGTATTCGAGGATACCCGTCTACTAGGGCGGCAGGCGCTTTCTCAGGCACATTTGTGTATGTTCAACAGCCACAGAGCCCACGTGTGGTTTATACTGCAACGTTATAGTTTCTGACTCGTGACTTCGTGCTAGAACAGCTATCGATGGCCCCCAGGAGTACCGTCTACCAAATTTCACTCGCAAGGCTTGGGGCAACCTATAGTATGGTATTCAAAGGTACCGCATGCTGGGACCGACCCCTCCAGTTCGATAACATTAGGAAGTTTCCTTCCTGACAAATGAAATCGATCAAGATGAGATTCGAACCCAGGTCGCATGGTCAGAAGGCGGAAATTCTGACAACTCGGCCAGTGTGTGTGTGTGTGTGTGTGTGTGTGTGTGTGTGTGTGTGTGTGTGTGTGTGTGTGTGTGTGTGGGGGTGTGTGGGGGGGTGTTGAGAGAGATTTATGTATTTTAGAAAATATATATATATATATATATAAAATATATATATATATATATATATATAAAATGCATATATATATATATATAAAATATATAAATAAAATGCATATATATATATATATATATATATGCATTTTATTTTTATATGCGCAATACTTAGCAAAAAAAGCTAGCATATTCAGTTGTATGGCTATGTTTTTGTGACCCTAAGTTGAACGCTTTTGCGATCATCAGACAAACACATTGTGTATAATGGTATTTATCAATTCACCCACAGGAATTGAATGTGGCACAAGGCCTTTTTATGTGGGTATGTCTGAGCCTGTAGGCCCAGCCAAAAATAAAACCCATCTAAACCCGTCCAAGCGGGCTAGTTCCGTCAACCTCCCCAACGAAACCCTACCCTTCGGCGGAGCTTCGTCAGGGTTCCTCTCTGCAAGCAGAGAGTTCGACAGACACCCGGCTCGGCAGCTCACAAAGCACAGATACTACACTTTGATCCTAGCCACCGGGCAATGATCGCAAAAGCATGGAACCCACGGTCACAAACACATATCCATACAACTGAATATATATATATATATATATATATATATATATATATATATATATAAACACTGAAGAAATTATCTTGATAATGGCTATATTAAATTAAATAAAAAACTTAATCACAGTACCTTGACTGTTGTCTTTAATGAAAACACACACACACACACACACACATATATATATATATATATAATGTATATATATATATATATATATATATATATATATATAAAATATATTATCATATATATATATATATATAATATATATAACGTATATATATATATATATATATATATATATATATATATATATATATATATATATATATATATATATATATATATATATATATATATATATATATATATATCAAAAAGAAGTATTAATTTATTATTCTTATTGGTTGATTCAAACGTTGGCTTGAAATATCACTGATGAAATAATTATTTTAATAAATTCTAATATTGTAACGGATATCGGCATGAGAAGTGGGCTCGGCGAACTGAGTTCAAATTTCGGTCACATCTGTTGCATTCAATTTAATCTAATTTCCCTTGGGAAAAGCATGAACCTGTCTGTTGCTTCCCTACCACCACTAGCTATGGGTTGAATAGAAAGGTAGGTCTCTGGCCTGGGGTGCCAACTAGTTTAAGAGAAGGAACACTCCGAATAAACACTTCCGAAAAGAGAAAGTGCACTTCTATTTTTCCAACAAAGGCATGGCAATACTTAGATAATAAAATGAAAAGGAATCTGTGCGGAGTTATCATCGCCTACGTCTTGAAAGGACATGGCATTAAGATATATATGATATCAGCTTAAAAAAAGCGGGGTGTAAATGCCTTTCAATAATAATCTGCTTGGACAAAACTTGATGTAAAAGCAAGTCTAAACGTTCTGTAGTTCCCATTGATGCTCGCAGGCCCGTCTCCAAAGTGCTTTTGGCGAGGTACTTTCATATCAATGTGACCATGAGTAAGAATTTGACCAGTAGCTGTTATCGCTCTTTCCATTATTGATGGATGTCTCCCTCCTCAACTTTTATTTTAACTAGTGTGGAATATCAACATTTTGATTACCGTATATACTCGTGTATAAGCCGCCTTCTTCTATAATGCGATCCGTGAATTTTTTAACCCCTTCAAAAAAAATTATCCGTGTATAGTGCAACTAGTCACCGAAAATGCAAGATTTTTAACACCTTCAAAAAATTACTTTTGTATTGTACGACCCCTTATATTTTGCATAAAAAAATGATTATAAAACGCAGACAATATCAACATTGATCTTACTTTAGCTTAAAGAATGAAACTAACTTTTGTCGTTAATATTTTAAAATAAACTGAGTGCTAAGGTTTTGATTCTGCAGGTGGAGTAATGGATAGCGGCTCGATAGCTTGAGGAATCGGTAGAGCCGAGTTCGAAATCCAGTCGAATCCATTACATTTACTTAGGCGCTATTACCCTTAGGAAAGGTATGAATCCTCTTTCCCCCCAGCTATGGGTAAATAGCAGGGCAGACCAGGTTCTATAGCCTTGGATGGCAACTGGTCTAGCGCAGAAAGAAACGGCAACCTACTGCAGGAAAAATATGCCTCGTCAGTCATGTATCGGAGGATACATGATCGCCTAAGCGTGTATCACGCATGGCACATTACTGACTGATTGGTAATAATCAGTAATTCAGTTGAACTAAAATGAACTGAAACCTAATCTCCAGGAAAGGTAAATATAACAGGATAAGTATATCCATTCTGATCGGATAACTGAACTGTCGGATAACCAGGCCGAAATTCAAATTCAATTTTTTTTTTTTCACTTTTTCAAAAAATGAACTCTTATCCCTTTAAGTTTTATCCATTATTGTTGATGTAACTTTTATTTATTGTTTGATACAATCTATTAAGTCCTAAGACTTAAACTGAATGGTGGTTTTTCTTATGAATTTTCTGAAAGTGTTTTTCTAAGCATGTGATCCGTAACCACTAACACAATCTTTTGAGTTCCAGATAAAGATAGATTGCCTTAGATTGTCCTAATGTGTGTATCAGTAGACTTCTTAAAGATTAATGGCTCTCCTAAAACAAGTAAAATAATGGTTGTGTTTAAATGTCATTTCTATTTCCAGATTCTTATATTTGGAGAGTTTTGTAAATTCTTAAATTATTATTAACCTACATTTGTTTCATAACCGTGGGTCGGGTCACAACTAATAACCTCGGACAACTGAAGAATGTGATTTTTTTTTGTTTCCACTTAAAAGACTGCTATTAACAAAAAAAAAAATGAAATGGACAAAGCTCTTGGCAGGATATGGGCTGTGCTTGGTAGAGTTCTTTTTTTTTGGTGGGGGGGGATTTCCTGGAGAGATGGTGCACTAAGGATTTTGCTGATTTTTTGTTGAGTTCCTTTCTTTATTTTAACCAAAACTCCAAGCACAATAGGAACAGTTTTAACTTTTCAGTGCCACATTTTTTCTCTTTTCATCTCCAGGTTTCTGTATTTGCTATTCAAATACCTTCACGGAGATGTTTTTGTCACTTGGTACGCTCATGTCAACCAGTGTGCATTCTTCTTCTTCTTCTTCTTATTATTATTATTATTATTATTGTTATTGTTATTATTATTATTATTCAGTGAGAGAGCAATACACAAGTCCCCAAGGAAGGTCTAGGATTGCTTCTCCCCAGAAAATCAATTCTGCCCGCCATTGTAAAAACAATGTGAACTAATTTTAG